GGCTGGCCTTGAACTCACAGAAATCCACCTGCCTCTGTCTCCCTGAGTGCTGGGACTAAAGGCGTGCGCCACCACACCTGGTTATCATTCTTGTCTTACAAAGGAGAAATAGAACCTAAAACATGAGCACAATGCAAACTATGAACCTGGTTCTTGCCTCCTAGTCCAGCACTTCTGCCGAATGGAGAAGGCCTCATGTCCTGGGCAATCCTTTTGCTGGGGCTAAGCTAATACAGAAAAGACCTCTTCTCCTACCCACAGCCTCACCTCTATCTCATGGAGAGACATGATGACATGACGTTTCACAGGGCTTCCTGAGGGATCATAATGGCCCACGGGTCGGGGGTAGGCCTGCCGGTGTGTGTGCTCTTGAGTCTACCTCACTGGGATGGCTGGGTGCAGCTCACTGTGATACCTTCTAGGGGCCAGAGTATGCTGGGCTTGAGGAAAACAGCATCTCCTCTCTACTCTTGTGGTTTAGCATCTTGGCAGGTACCTACTGTGGTTCAGGCACTGATCTGTAACTTCTGCAGGAAGCTCCCTACTCCCACCACAGTCTCTTGTCACAGGTGAGGAGATTCAGGCTTAAGCAGGACACAGGGCTTGCATTAGGCAACGGAGGCAGTGGAGAGCTGGGATTTGAACTGTGGACTGTGTTGTTCTGGACTATCTCGTCTATCAAAGCTCATTACCACTGGAGCATAAAGCGGCTGCCACTTCTGGCTTTCTAAGCCCGGCCAGGTTCCTTTCCCTGTTTAAACTTCAGCTCATTTGCAAGCTGAGGAAAGAGGAAGTATGCATCTTCAGGGCCCTCATGGGACATAAACCAGATGATGTGTGCAGCAAGAACACAATGAGCGCTCTCCACTATGCTGAATGTGATTATGATCGCACAAGGTCTTTGATGGCTGGCTGGGTGTCTGATGAGCCTTGCCACACCCCAAGTCCTTGGCCTCATAAATGCTGGGGTTAGGAGTAGGGGAATATGGTGAGAGTCATTATCATCAGCCTGCCAAGCAAAGCCTGTTCCTGCCCTGCCTCCTCATGGCCTCACAGAATAGAAACTACCTGGCTGAGAAGTCCCTGAGCTCCCAAGGGCAGTTCTACACTACTTCCTCAGCACCTTCCAGACCCTCGCGCCCTCATAGGGTCAGATTCCAGAAAGTTTCTCTCATGTCTTTCTAAAGGGCCCTTGGAAGGGGGAGAGCTCAGTTGGTAGATGCTTGTCTAACGGGCATCCGTTAACACACTGGCTACTCAAACCCAACAGCAGGCAAGGCTGATAGACTCCTCCCGTCTTAAGTGGCTAGAGAAACTGAGGCCCAGTGAGGTGAAGTGGCGTGTCCAAGGTTACCGAGTTTAGGCTGAAGCTCCAACACTGAGAAATGGGCTTTTAAAATTAGCTCCTTCTTAATTCCTTGTGTTGTGAAATCTTCCCGCAAACAGGCAGGTACGTAGTCACAAATCAATGCGCACACAGAGGCACTGCTAATTATTGCTGACTGTGGGATGCTTTGGGGGAGCCTGGCCGAGTCTGCTCTGCTGATTGATGGCCCCATCCCCCACAGCACTGAACTGGCTAATTGCAGGAAGTCACATCATTCAGAAGCAAGGCAGGAATAATAGCACCCCCCCTGAAGCCTGGTGCTCCTGGGAATGAGTCATGCCATTGAGAGCAATGGATGCTCTGTGATCACCTCCAGCGGCCCCGGCCCACCACCAGCCCCAGGACAGTCTCGCCAGGTGTATAATGGAGCTGAGCAGGAGTGGGAACTTATGGAATCTCACCAGGACAGCCTGCTACTGCTCGAATTCTGTTTTAGCTTAGAGCACCAGGTAGGCAGGACTCAGTGGTGAAAGGATTTTGATGATCTGGTCACCCTACCCCCAAAGTTCAAGGACAGGAAGTCTTTACATTCCAGATGGGAGGCAGCAGCCTAGCTTCCAGAGTAGTAAGCTGGGGGCAGTGAGCACATGGACAGACCAATGCTCCCCTCCCCATCCCTTCTGAAACTTCAGTTTTCTTTTCTGAGTAGCTGTGATTAGTCACACAAAGGGGGGCAACAATGGGGGAACAGAGGAGAGTATAAACAGATCTATGACAATGCACCTCATCAACCACGATGTCTCTCAGTAAGCCCCCAAGCATGCACCAATGTGCCCATGAGGTCTGCATAGTAAACCGTCTCAGAAGCCAGTGGGTCCAGGGCTGCGGACACAGCTCAGTTGGTAGAGTGCTTGCCTACCATGCATGAAACCCTGAGTTTAACCCCTAGGCCTGCACAAAATGGTGATGTGTGCCTGTAACCCCTGCATTAAGAGGGTGGAGGTAGGGAGATCAGGAGTTCAAGGTCATCTTCAGCTCCATAGTGAGTTTAAGTCCAGCCTACATGAGGTTCTACCTAAAAACAAGATTAATAAGACAAAGTCCGTGTGTTCATCCTCTTCTGCCCATTCACGTTTGTATGGGAAGGACCTGAGACCTGAGAGGTGAAGCCATTCCAAAGTCACAGGCCTCCCTTAGCAGCCAGGCTAGGACAGGGACAGAATGTCCCGCCAGCAGCTTGCTGTCAATTGCTTCTCTGCCTGACCCGTTGGTGATGGGATAGTTTTAATACCAAATAACTATTTGCCAGACTCTGAACCTAGAATGCTACCATAATCACTATTTTAAATATGTGTGGCTGCTGTGCCTGCACGTATATCTGTGTGTGGCTGGTGCCCTCGGAGACCTCAACAGGAAAACAAACCCCTGCACGTGGAGCCACAGAAGGTTGTGAGCAGCCACGTGGGTGCTGGGAGTTGAAGTCAGGTCCTCCGGAAGAGCAGAAAGTGCTCTTAACCACTGATCCACCTCTCCAGCCCCTTGTCCTTCAACTCTTTGTCATAGTTATGAACCAAAATTCATGCCAGCACAGGCAAGTAAGAGAAACTGTGTGAAAGAGACAGACTTCTTTCCTTTAAAGACACCGTAGAGCATGTCAGCTCAGCTTTAGGTGCTCCTAGGGAGGCGCCTGAGGGGGCTGGCTGACATTTTGTATGCAGACCGAAGCGTTTGCTTTCAAAAGATCCTCTGCCATGGTGATAGCAGAGCTTGGGAGTCAGCGGACTTATCCCATGGCAGCCGGCTAGCCCACAATCGAGCCAGGCTCACCAGCACCTCCATAGCCAGAACCTGACCTTACAGTCAGGGCTGAAAAGCTTGTTCTTAGAGAAGGTAGCTCATGCAGTCTGTCATGAACTGAATGAGGACCTAAGTTTGATCTAGAGCATGGCATAAACTAAGTTTGTAGGACCATGCCTAGCATGGGGGAGGTAGAGGCAGGAGGATCACAAGTTCAAGTCTGTCCCTGCTACATAGCAAGCAAAAAAAAAAAAAAACAAAAACAAAAAAACAACAACAACAACAAAAAACAAAAAACCCTATAGTATATAAGACTACCTTAAAGACAAATAAGTTCAGGAAGGAAGAAAGGAACAAAGGAAGAAGAAAACCCTGCTGTGCATCTGCTTCCTGCACAGTGAGAGCCACTGACCAGCAGCAGCTACATCCTGTGAGAACTCATCAGGTACATAAAGCCTCCCCACACCCCAGACATGCTGGAGCCGAATCTCTAATTCACCAAGGCCCCCATCTACAGCCGCTCCAGGAATCCCTTCTCTACACCCGGAAGCAACCTTGTTAGGGTGAGCGCCCACTTCACAGAGAAAGAAACCCAAGAGAGTGGGTCCAAGGTCACATGGTTGGTAGGTAGGACAGCCAGGATGTGTGTCACAGGTTTTGACTCCACAAACACTTCTCAAAGCACAGTGGGACATTGTCCCTGGGAATGCCTAAGTGTATGTGGGGTCTTCAGACCAGCTGAGCATATTCCATCCCTATCAACTTCCCCCCAAATCAAACCTTGTAAAGACCAGCATGATTGATGAGGAAATACAAACAGTGAACAAACATGTAGGGAAAACGTTCACGCCACCTAGTAATCAGACATGCAAATGAGAGCAACATTTAGGAGCCATTCTCTACCTATATAATTAGCAAGACTGAAAAAAAAAAAAAAAAGCAAAAACTGTTCTGAACAAGGCACACGCATATACGACCCAAGACAGCATAGATTTATATAACCCTTTGGGAAAGTTGATCTGGCAACATCCATCAACAGCCGTGAATATATTGTGCCCGCTGACCTGGGAATTCACCTGGAGGAAATAATTCAGTGGGTCGGTGGGGTGGGGAGCTGTGTCAGAACACTGGCTGTGAGCATGAGCAAAAAACCCTAATATTCTGCAGGAAGGGAAGGAATGGGGAACCAGGAATCTACCAGCTCCTGCCATGCTGGACAGCCATCTGAAATGAGAATTAAGAGGTCCAAGCACTAATGTAGAAACAGGAGTAAAAGAAAGATGGGCTGGAGCTCAGAGGGAGGGCACTCGCCTCAGTGTGGAAGGCTGTAGGTTCAGTCCTAAGGACACCCCGCCCACACACACACACACATAAACACCAGCCCCCTCCACTCCACACAACACAGAATTAACACTGTCCAGCCGCTGGACAGCACACCTTTAATCCCAGCACTCAGAAAGCTGAGGTAGGTGGATCTTTGTGATTTTGAGGCCAGCTCAGTCTACAGAGTGAGTTCCAGGCTAGTCGGGAATATATAGTGAGGCCTTGTTTTAAGACAAACAAACAAGTAGAAAGGAGAATGCAGAACAGCTTATGAGAGCTGGGGTTATAGTGCTGTGAAAAATATTGTCTGTAGAGGAGGACAGGACAGAGCTGGATGGAGGGGAAGACAGTTTCAGACTAAGGCCTTTCCAGCTACTCTTGCAGTTACAAACCTCGGAGACCAGCCTCAAGGGTCGCACAGCATGTCTGCAGGTGACACACAGAGAGTTCTAGCCCTCCTTTGTGGGCAGAAGGTCACACTCCAGGTTGCCAAGAGTACGGTTTGCTGGCTGCCGCGGCCCAGGGAGGCTGTGAGGGGCCCCTCCTGACTTACCATGAAGCCTGGTGCGCAAGTACAGCCCCCAGTGACGCTGTGGCAGTCAGCGCCATTCTGACAGGTGCAGGGCAGCTGGCAACCGTTGCCATAGTAGCCGGCAGGGCAGGACTCATTGCAGTAGTGGCCAGACCAGCCTGGTCGGCAGGTACAAGCTCCAGTGACCGGATGGCAGCTGATCAGAGGACAGAAGGGATGAGAGGACATCGGTCAGGGCTGTAACTGTGTCCCGTCCCCTGCCCTCCCCAAGTCCAGTCTGCCCACAGCAGTAAGAGCAAAGGACCCCTGCGGGTAAGTTAGTAATGCCTTGTTTGTTTATGAGAAGACGCATGACCATACACAATCCCATTAGTTCCCAGAAATGAAAAGTAACTTGCCTAAAGTCATTCAGCAAGGAGGTAGCAAGACCAGTATTAGTACCCAGGCTTCTGATTCCCAAACAGGAACTTTTTCTTTTTTTTTCTTGAGGCAGGGACTCATGGAGCCCAGGCTACCTTTGAACTCCCTGTGTAGCCAAGGGTGACACTGAATTTCTGGTACTCCTGCCTCCCTCCTGAGAGCTATGATGACAAATATGTGTCATCATGACCGGTTTGTGCAATGCTGAGCTACTACGCAGAGCCCAAAGCACAGAGCAGTGTCTTTCCCCTTTGCCTCATAGAGAGATTCTGAGGTCCAGAGCGCTCATCATTTCCGTCCCACCCATCCAAGGTGAAGACACCTGAGAAGGTGACCATGATACCAGTAGAGTTAAAGCAATACCTCAGGACAGGGTGGCCTCTCTGACATTGTGCCTCAGGGAACTGCTACTTGGGCTTCCCTATGCCCCAGGCCTTTCTCTGCCTTTTATCCATCAAGCTGCAGAAAGAACCATTGGCTGGCAGCAGGGACATGACCCTGGAGTGGAGCAGCTTTGGCTGAGAGTGGCCTGGTCCAGTAGCCAATATCCATCCCTGATCAGGAGACAATGTGGTAATGGCGTGCCCTGTGTCCCTGTGGTGGGTGTGACTGACGCATGATATCACCTACTGAGTCCACATGCTGGGGTATATTCCCGGAGATGATCTCAGCAGACACTAAGACGGGCCAGTTCTTGGTGAGCTCCTGTGACCTCAAGATTCCTCAGCTTGCCACACTTTCTCAGAACTGTGCCCTGACTTCATTCTCCTTCCTTCCTTCCTTCCTTCCTTCCTTCCTTCCTTCCTTCCTTCCTTCCTTCCTTCCTTCCTTCCTTCCTTCCTTCCTTCCTTCCAGCTCTCATGTGGGTCAGGCCTGACAGCCCTTCCCAGCCCTTCGGCGCATGACCACCTCCCCCCTCCACCTCCCCAACATGTGTCCTTGTATTTTTCTCTTCTGTGTGGTTCTAAAGGTTGGACCAGGGCTCCTTGAGGGCTAGGCAAGGCATTCTTCACCACATGCCCACTGAACCTCTCATTTGCTTCTGGGCCAGTCTAGACTAACAGAGTCCACCTAGCAGAGGGGGTGGGCCAAGCTGCTCCAAGCTCAGATCACGTCCTTCACGCCCTGGAATGTGTCTCAGTTCTGACCTGAAGGCTTCGGGCTGGCCAACGCTAGCCTTTGTTCCTCTAAGTCCCACAAGAACAGGGCTTCCTCTCCCTGGTTAACTTCGGCTCTCAGTTCCTGGCTCATGTTCACTGTCTAGTTTACACACATAGGGATGTGCTTTGCTTTTACCATATTTAACTATTTTCTTTTAGAGACAGGGCCTTATGTAGCCCAAGATGGCCTTAGACTTGCTAATATAGCTGAGGATGATCCTGAACTTTATTTTTTGCATTTGTGGGGCCAGCTAACGTGAGTGCCAGGGGTAAGATTCAGGCCATCCAGCAACTGTGCATGTTTGGCTCTCTCACCAGCTCCCAACCCTGAGCTTCTGATCCTTCTGCCTCTACCTGTCCAGGGCTAGGCTAACCGCTGCGTACCATTACCACACCTGGTTTTATGCTCTGCTGGGATTCGAACCCAGGGCTTCATGTATGCTGGAGAAGCACTCTGTCAGCTGAGCTACCCCCCTAGCTTTCTGTATTTAATTATTTTCTGTGTCTGTTGACTCATTTGTTTTCTGTCTACCCACTGGGTTTCAGCTCCCTGGGGGAGAGCCATTGTCTGTCTTGTCACCTCTCAGGGCTCAGTGGGGTTCCTGGTACAGGGGAAGTGCTGACCTCATGGGATGCTTAAATGAACGAATTAATGAACAGACTAATTGTGAGCAGCCAGCCAGCCTGTCTTCGGGGTGGGGGGGAGGGGGAGCTGGTGTTCTTGCAGGAAATGAGGGGGTGGACTAGAACAGACAACTCTGGAATAATAAGTGCCAGTAGCTAATAATCACTTCAGAAAATGTTTAGTCTCTTAATCATCCAGTCAAAACAACAATTGGATATCAACTTCTCTCTATCAAAACATGGACGAGCTTTTCAAACGCTGGTAAAGGTTTCAAAACAATCCGAGGTTATGTATCAGGAGACCTAAAAATATGCAGATGTCTTGGCCTTTTATTCTATTTCTAAGAATCTATCCTAAGGAAATGATCGTGGTTGTGGAGGAAGATTTATGCACAGAGATGTTCCCTTGAAGCATTATTTATAACAGTGGAAAATGGAAGCAATTTGAATAATAATAAATAATATGTGACCAGGCTATTAAAGCACCAGGCACCTCGCAAACATATATTTCTTATCTTCCACAAACCTGAGAAGTAGGAATGTGAGCCTCCATTTTACAGGTGCACCCAGAGGTTCTGGGACTTGTTCAAGGTCATGCAGATAAGTGGGTGAGTGATGGAGCTGAGATTTGAACCAAGGTCTGGCCATGTTTATCCTGGGCTTGCCGCCCCTGGCAAGAAGGTGCCAGTTAAATTTCTTACGCTGGGCATGGCGGCACATGCCTTTAAACCCAGCAGAGGCAGGCAGATCTCTGTGAGTTCAGTGCCAGCCTGGTCTAAAGAGTGAGTACCAGGACAGCTGGGGCTACAGAGAGAGCCTGTCTTGAAAAAAAGAAATGCCTTCTGTTTTGGTCATGGTGTCTCTTTATAGAACAGTTACTACGACTCTAGGCAGACACTCTACAGGCTGAACTATATCCCAGCCCTACAATTCTATTTCTAGAAACAGGACATCTAACTTCTTCGTTTGAATTTCCCTTTGGAAAGATGCTGGGGAGTGGCGGCAGATAATGATTTGATTTTTTTTTTTTTTTTTTTTTTTTTTTGGTTTTTTGAGACCAGCTAGCCAGCTAGCTTTGAACTCATGGCAGTTTTTCTGCCTGCATGTCCGCCTACCCAGGCCTCCCTTCCCCAGGGTCACCTGGCTGTTCAGGCAGTGCTGGGAGAGGCTGAGACCAAAGTCCGAATCACTGATGCTCAGGCTGTCTCCCCTGTGTCAGGTGTCCCTGCTTTCTTCCTTTCCCGAAGACACAGATTAATCACTAGCTAACAGGAGCCGAAAGCTGTACAATGCAGGCAGCAGCTTCGCAGGGTGGGTTTTTCTGCCTTTCTTTTGCTCTGATGAGATTTCTATCTTCGTAGCATCTGGTGGCTAAATCAAATCTTTCAAAGGTAATCTGCCATCCTGGCTCCTGGAATTCATCTATGACAATCTAATTTCGGGAGGGAACATTTAAGAGGCCTGACACCCAGACACTGTCTTCAAGGTGAATGCTCTATGAAGGAGGATGGCCTCTTTTGTGTCTTCACAGAGCCCATAGAGGACACTAAAGCTCCTCATCCCTGCTCCTTCCCAGGGCAACCCATATCTTCTCTGCAACAGCTAGCCAGAGGGGAAGGAGCGGGGAGAGGGTGCTGGTGGGCTGGTTAGCAGGGCTTCCTTGGCTGGGGTTAGAGTCCTGGGTCTCCTCAGAGGGATGCTGGAAACTGAAACTCACCATTTGTCCCAAGTTCTGCATAAGTTCAGGGACAAGTGAGGTGAGGCTTCCAGTGACTGCCCCTCAACCCCGCTTCCATGCTGATCAAAGGTGATAGACTGGGAGCCTGAGAGGAGAGGGGCATGTATCAGGGTGCTTTCTTAGATGGCTGCTGAAGAACCAGCCTGCCTCCATCTTAGGCTTAAACGCTATCTTATAGTGAAGGCAAACTAGGCTCATTCCTGCTTGATAAAATCTCTGTTTAATCATCAACCTCTCAAGGATTGGGAATTGCCCTACCTGTAACCTTAACTAACCAATGGTTCTGTACTGCCTGTTTCATGTCTTTGTTTCAGAAAGACTGCCAATCATGTCTTTGTTTCAGAAAGCTGTTTTAACCATCTTGCAGCCCTGCCTTTGTTTTTAAGGGTTATATGAACACCTGTGACTACCTTGCTATGCCCCCCTCAACCATGTCTTTGTTTCAGGAGGTCATTAAGACTAATTGTTATGCTTATGTTCTGCTCATGTAACCCTGCTTATTTTGACCTATAAATCCCCCATTTGGGAACCCCCTACCCCACCGCCCAACCCCGCTATAAAAGCCTTGTCTTCCTTGTCTTCCGATGCTGACCTCTCAAATCCTTAGGGGGAGGCAGCCCACATACATGAATAAAAAAGCTTGCTGTAATTAATTTGGCCATGATGATTTGGGTTGGTAGTCTTTCTCCTTCCGTCCTTGGGATTAATGACAGATCTGAGGCCAGGACCAAGGGAACCAACCCCCAACTCAGTACCTGCAACCTAGCTGTCTTAAGATTGAGTCACAGGTCTCTCCTCTGTCTCTTTCTCTCTACTACCCTTTCCCCCTACTTCCCTCCCTCCCTTCCTTTCTTCCCTTCTCTCTCTTCCTCCCTCCCTCCCTCCTTTCCCTTCCTTCCTTTCTTCTTTCCCTCCTTCCTTCCTTTGAAGTCCTTCTTTCCTTCCTTTCTATTTTTTTTTTTTTTTTTGAGACAAGGTCTCATGGCACCCATTCTGACCTCCAGGTAGCCAAGGATGGCCTTGAACTTCTTATCCTTCTGCCTTTCTCTTTTAAATGCTGGAATGACAGTGTGTGCCACCATGCCCAGTCTATACTGCGCTGGGGAGGGAATCATGCAAGCCAGGCAAATGTTCTACCAACTGAGGTACACTCCTAGCTGCACATCTTTGCTTTCTTTATATCCCAAGAGAAGGTTCTATCTATAGCCAAGGCTTCCTGGGGGGGAAAAAGGCTGAAGCTGGGTACACACACAGGAAGAGGGCTGTTTGCTGTGTCCAAGGGAGCAAAGCCAAGAGCAGCAAGAATTCAGTTATCCTGGACATTCTCACCTGAGTCAGCTTGCTTCTCTGTCCTACCTGGACATTTGACTGACTGGAATCATCTTTGGGTATCTGAACTTGGGAGTGAACCAGACATCTGATGGGTGGAAACCAGGGACCCTGGCTGAACATTTTATAGAGTACAAGACCGTTCCGTGTGGATGATGGCAAGATGGGTTGCCTGGTACAGACTGAACAACACTTGTCTCCATGCCAGGAGAAGGGGGAATATTTGAAAGGCAAGTGAGGTGGAGCTGAAGGATACATGTTTAAGATGAATTCGTCGATGCCTGTCACTGAAGGCCGAGGCAGTGATGAGAGAGATGGACAAGGTAGGCTGCTGGTGCCTTTGGGGGTCCAGGCTTGGGGCAAGGCTCTCTCCAAGGAGGAAGTGCTTTGGAGTCTAAGCAGCCTGCCCAGAGCTGGGCTGGCAGGCACCATCCAAGGACCCATGCCTAAGGAGGGTTTTTGCCTCCCAGTCCCTTGAAACATGACACACGTTAAAGACAGTAAAGCAAATAATCATTAATATTGGATGGGCTGAGATTAGCAACAGAGAAGAGGGAGTCCTTCCAGATTAATAATGCATGGAGGATTCCTTCAGAAGAAAGATAAATTATGCAGGGCACGGGTGCTCGGGAAGGGAGGAAAACAATAGCTTTTTAATTTGGGGCTTGGGTGTATCTCTGTGGTGGGGACTCTTCCTGAATGGGGCCTCAGCAGCCTCCTGCTTCCTGTCTTTGGCTTCACAGCAGGAATGTGATGTCCCCATGCTGTCTTCTACCTGTGGAGTAGGTAAACTTGTTTCTTATTCCCATCCTTGGGAGCCTTAGATATTTCTGCTTGCCCTTCAGTTCAGGCAAAGGGCCACCTCTTCCAGGATGCCTTTCCTGCACAGTATAGTGGTCTTCTGTGATCTTTTATGTACATAGACTAGGTCACAATAACTTGGGCACATATTAGGACCTGGCAGAGCCAGGTTCATATATTTTTACCCTAATATTTCTCAACCTCTGATGTTGGGTGTGTTACATACTTAATGGTGTGTCATGGCTTGGCTGATGGGATTTTTGCTCACTGGGACATAAGCAGAGCTATGAGACATGACTGGAGGTGCCTTGTATTGGAAGAAGATGCCAGGAAGTGCCTGCTGCCAATGAATACTCAGAATCTGAGGTTCTAAGGGCACCTGGGTTTTCTTCTTGTAGCCTGGCCCTGCCCTGTTGGGGCACTCAAGTCAAGACCTGCCTTGGCATAGAGCTGCCTCGGCTCTAGGCCCTCTCTGTGTATTCCTCCCCTGTGAGGCCACTAGGGAACCATATTCACCTAAGCTGACACATGCTGACATGGCTTGCTTGCAGTGACTGGAGGCTCCAGGGTGAATTGTGAGAAACCAAACGCTGCAGGTAAGGACAGGCCTCAGAGCACAGGCCTCCTCTGCTTGCCATCTGCTCAGTAGCCACTGCCTGGGCCAGCTTGTCTTCCTGGGCAGTTCACAGGTGAGGGGAAAGGATGTCCTACCCCTTACTACCTCATGACAGGTAGCAGGCAGTCAGATAGAGGGCATGCGGCATCTCCAGGATGTCCCACTTATAGAAAGAAGGCAGCAGAGCTGGCAGGCAGGAAGGGGGAGGGGCGGACAAGGAGGCGGAGTCCATTTACCTTCGGCTTCTCAGGCTCAGTTCTGCCTGGGAGTAGGAGACCAGCTACCATCCCTGTATTTCTAAGCCGTGCTGGGCATAGAGGCTGATCTTTGTCTTTCCTGCTGTCCCAACTGGCCAGGACCTCCCTTGGTCCTAGGATGGGCTTTATATGGCTCCAGCCTCTGCTTAGATTCTCATTGTAAAGAAGACTATTTAAGATAGCTCACCAGCCACTGTACTGTGAGCCCAGCCCCCAGAACTATCCACTCCTACTCCCACACCCGCGCTCCCCATTCTGTGGATCACTTGGCTGCTTCCTTGATCCTATATGAGGCTTGAGATTGACTGGTTGTGAAACTCAGGCAGATGAACGTGGAGAAGGGGGACAGGTAACCTAGGTCTAGTCCTGACTCCGGCTGGGTGGCGTTAGTTTTCACCTTTTTTTTTTTTATTTTTATTTTTTATGTTAATTACAGTTTATTCACTTTGTATCCCAGTTTCTTTTCCCAGCTAGCTGGCTGGTGACCCTGGAGGTGGGCCCACCCGCCCCTGCCCCAGGCTTACCGTCCACAGCTCATACCTGACAGTGTTCTCAGTGTCGCAGGGACAGGGCAAGGTGCAGCCCGAGCCATGCAGGCCCTCCGGGCAGAGCCGCTCCTGGCAGCTCGGGCCCTTATAGCCAGGCTCACACTCACAGGCACCTGTGGTCGGTGAACATTGACCTCCATTGTGGCAGTCACAGCGCTGAGAGCACCGGAAGCCGAAAGTTCCAAAGGGGCATTCCTCCTGGCACCTGTGGGAGAGCAGAGCAGGGTGGGGGTCTGCAGGGACCCCTCCTCACTTGGAACACCTGGTGTGTTCCTTCTCTCCCAGCCTCCTTCCCCACTCCTGTGGGGAGTTCACCCCAGGTCCCCTCAGCAGCCAGCTCAAATTATCGGGTCATGATGTAAAACTTTGTTTCTTTTTCATTGTAAAAAGCTGTGATAAGGCTGAGCGAGGTGACACATGCCTGTAATCCTAGCAACTAGGGAGGCTGCAGCAGGGTGGGGCCAGCCTGGTGGGTTCCTGGCTACCCTGTATGACTAAAGTCTCCTTCAAAAAAAAAGTGTGATAAAATATGTGTGCTGTGTCTTGAATGTTTGCTTCCTTCAAATTTCACGGAGAAAGTTTTCTGTTACAATTAATCGATTTATTTCTATTCGAAGAGTCTCACATAGACCAAGCTGGCTTCAAACTCACTCTGTAGCCACTGGGGGCCTTGAACTTCTCATCCTACCTTTCCCGCCATCTGAGGGCCACCACGCTTGGTTTATGTGATGCTGGGGAAAAGTCCAAGTTAGTTTGTTTGTTTGAGACCAGGATTGCGCTCTGTAGTTCAGGTTGGTGTCCTACAATTCACTATGTAACCCAGGCTGGCCTCAGATTCACAGCAATCCTCCTGTCTCAAACTCCTGAGTGCTTCCCTGAGTCTCAGGCAGAAGGCCCTCTCCCTGTGGCTCCTCCCCCAAGGGTGAGTTTCCCTCATGTAGAAGTGTCTTCCTCCTTCATCAGCCTGCAGCTGCAGACTCCCAAAGAGTGGCTATTTGTTCTTCCTGGGACCTGGGGCCTCCTCGAGGCAGGGGCTAACTCTCTGATCAGCCAGCGACCCCCTAGGGGAGGTCATGCAGGCGGGTACTTGGGAGGTCCCTGCATTCTGGGACATTTGTGTGGTGCTGTTGGCTTCCTGGGTGTGCTTTAACTTCCCTTGCTGCATTCCGGGGGGCTCAAGCCCATTGTCACAGCACCCAGGCCTTAGAGAAACAGGGGTCGCCCTGGGGCAACCTGTGCCCTGGAAGGAAATAGCCTCTGTCTGGGCTTGGAGAGTAGCTATGTCTTTCTTTCTTTCTTTATTTTATTTTTGTCTTTGTTTTTTGAGGCAGGGTTTCTCTGTGCAGCCTTGGCTGTCCTGGACTCCCTTTATAGGGCAGGCTGGCCTGAACTCACAGATATTCACCTGCCTCTGCCTACTGGAGTGCTGGGCTTACAGGAGTGCCACAGCTCACAGCTGATTATCTATTTCTTGACTTTGCATTATGATACAGATAGTGGACAGCTGACCTAAACCTCTCACGGATCACTTCCTCATCATAAGATCAGCTGGTAACCTCCTCAGGTTGTTTGACAGTTAAAGAAAATAATGCTAGGGGCTGGAGAAATGGCTTAGCAGTCAAGCACTTGAACTTGACTTGTTCTCAGTACCCACACTGGGCAGCTTACACTCACCGGTTCCTCCTCTAAGTACCTGCCTATGTGAGCTCACATAGCACAAAAGGTGCCAGTCCTCCATCCTGGGGGCTTGCGGGCTGATAAGAGATTTAGCCCTTGCCTTGAGGCTCCACAGGACAGGGGCTTTCTGCCTGAGACTCAGAAAAGCATTTAGTAATGAGCCGGGTACTCAGGAGTTTGAGGCCGAAGGATCCGACACCCTCCTCTAGTCTTCTCTGGCACTGCACTCAAATGTACATAACCTGTCACCACTCACATAATTAATTTAAAAAGAATGTGACTAATAGTCCAGAAAGGTAGCCAGGAGACCATTATTTGTTGTCATTCTTGAATAAATTTCACTGCTGGCCTATATCTCCAGTTCTTATTAAAAGTTTGTTTCAATTCTTAAAACACAGCAGATCTGACCCTCTTGCCTTAGATTCAGGCATGAAAAGGATCCGAGAAAAGAATTCTGAAATGTAGAAGTGGTTTGAGTATCACACGTGTGGAGGTCGGATGATGGACTGTAGCACTGGTTCTGTCTTACTTTTACATGTGTTCCAGGGATGAAACTCAGGTCATCAGGCTTTGAGCAGCACGTACCTTTATGTGCTGAGCCATCCCCCACCCCCCGCCCCAAGATTTATGCTTTGTATTTAAGTGTAACCTTGAACTCCTGATCCTCTTACCTCTACCTCCTGAGTGCTGGGATTGCAGGCAGGAACCATGAAAGCCTGTTACTCAGTATGGGGGGCAGGAGGGGGTACTCAAGTCTTTATGCATGCTGGGCAAGCACTCTATTGAATTACGTCCTCATTTGTTTATTTTCTAAATGTACCCTGTGCTGCACAGTTTTATGTCAACTTGACACAAGCTCCGGTCAGCTGAGAGGAGGGAGCTGAGAAAATGGCTCTTGAAGGTTGTGCTGTAGGCAAGACTGTTAGGGATTTTCTTAATTAGTAATTGGTGGGGAAGGCTGCAGTCCACTGTGGGCAGCCTGAGCAAGCCAGGAGGAGCAAGCCAGTAAGCAGGGCCCCTCCTCGACCTTTCTGTCAACTCCTGCCTCCAGGTTTCAGCCCTTTGGCTTCCTGCCCTCACTGCTTTTGATGATGAAGTACTGTATGGAACTGTGAATGAATAAACCCTTCCTCCCCAACTTGCTTTTTGTCATGGTGTTTCTTCACAGCAATAGTAACCCTAACTAAAACATACCCGTAACTTCTTGGAGGCTCATTCTTCCTCATAGACAGGGCAGGGAGAGCCTGGTCCCCATGAGAGGCTGGAGGCCTAAATGAGGACAAGTGACCACACGCAGTGGGCTTGTGGGGCCAGCACTGTATATGGGGGAACTGAGGGCAGTTAAAATATTGGGGACTAGCCTTGGCAACTAGAGACCATGTGCCCTTGTTTCTGTCTTTGCTGTTCTGTGCCCACTGAGACAGGCCAGCAGGAGAGCTTCCCTCAAAGGCTGTCCCCTCTCAGAGCCACGGTGTGAGGGAAGGAGCCTGGCTGAAGGCAGGCAGTGAGAAAGATCTGGGCTGCCCCAGCCTGCTGGGGCAAGAACAAAGGGAGGGGTGCCTGAGGGAGGAAGGGCAGGTGGCAGGCGAGAAAGGAGGAGTTCAGAGGAGGAGGGAGAGGCCTGAGGGAGAGGGCAAGCACCAAGAGCAGCTGGAGACCCATGTCTCAGGTGCCAGTCCCTGCTCAGCCTCCAGACTTCTCCACAGACCACTGAGCCCAGCGGGCCTCAGATCTCTCTGATGTCAGGAGAGAAACTCACACCAGCAAGACACCTGCTCCCTTGCATTGGACGTTCCTGCAAACCCATGCCCAGTGGGACAAACGGTGTCCCACCTGGCTGATTCCGGGGGAGGGGCACCAAATCCACATGCCCAGAAAAAAAAATCTAGCAATGAAATATTGACAACCTAACCTCATCCATTTCCATAGTCAGTCTCTTTCTACTCTTTTTTTTTTTTCTTAGCCACAATTTAAACAACTTATTTATTTAGAGATCAAGCAAAGACTGCTAATGAATTTTACACAAAGCATACTAATAACCCGGCTGTGGAACAGGAGGGTAATCACAGCAGGGATTAACTTTCTACTTAAACACCCTTCCTTCCCAACATATCAATCTAATGTGTCCAATATTGCCATTAACAACCAGATACATTGCTCAATTAAATTACAAGTTACGTTTTGTGTTTAATTTGAGCTGGATCCCCCTATCTGAGGAGACCCGCATTATTATACCCACTTGGCCTTAATATGCTCATGATAATTTGGGGTGGGCTAACGCAGCTGTCACCTACAAAATTAATGGAGGCAATTTTACAAAATATTAAACACCAGGCAGCCTGTTGAGGCGGGAAAACCGAGCGCATGCGACACTCGGCACGAACTCTCCTGAGGCGGGCTAGTGAAGCAAGCTAGAGGCCCGTGGTTTGGGAGATTCTCTCCGCTCTGGGATCAGGGTTGAGACACTAACAAGAGACACTCAGGGTTATTTCTGCCCTTGATGAACACTGGCAGCCAATGAGGCGGCTCTGCTGGTGCCCGGTAGCTTGCTAACACTGGTGTCCAACACATGAATGAGAGCTGGAACACAGCGGCCCTCTTCTGGTCCCCAACATTTCTTTACCTTGGAGTTTGAAGAAGTGGTGGGAAGGTAGACCTGGCACTTAATCCTGGGTCCCCAGAACCCACACCCCGTGCTCTGTGCTTCAGGGAATCCATGGAGATGCTGGCACAAGGCTTAAGCACTTTAGGGTGTAAGCAAATAAAGCCAGTGCGAGCAGACAGGCTTTATTCTGGATCCTACTAAAGACTGGGGCAGTTCCAGGGAGAGCAGGGGGAATGCTGATTTTGTTAGTCAGCTCCAAAGGGTGGCTGGAGCATAAATCAGCTAGTCAAGTGCCTGTTTGTTATGCAGGAAGCTGTGGATTTGACCCCCAGCCCTATGCTAACTGACCATGGTGACATACATCTGTGTCTCAGCACTCAGGAGATGAGGCAGGAGGTTTAGACGTTCAGGTCATCCTTGGCTACACAGTGAGACTGAGGCCATCCTGGGCTATAAGAGATACTGTCTCAAAACAAACACAACACAACACACACACACACACACACACACACACACACACACACACACGAAAGGACTCATTGGCTGACTCATCCTTGATCCCTGCTGTTGATCAGGAAACAAATATTATCTTGTCAGGGATAATCCCCACCCCACCCCCAACCCTGCAGGCCCTGAGAAGATACCATGTTTGCAGGCTCTGGGTCATAGGCCTTTCAGAGACTGGCCTCATGGCTTACCTTTCTTACACATTTAAACATAGTAGAACATTGGGGGAAAGTCTCCTCGTGACAACTCTGAACACAAAGCTTCAGGGCTGGCTGGCTCCATCATTTGCAAGGTAGCACAGCACTTGTGACCTTTATGATAAGCTTGAATTCTACTGGCTGATAAACAGAGCTCAGGGCTAGACCAGATAAGGATCTGTAAGGATAGATTCTATTGGGGGCAGATACAAAGCACGTGGGCATGTGTTCCACTCACACTCAGGAGCCTGGGGGATTCAGATGGAGGTGCTCCCAATAGAACAGCAAAGGATCATTGGGCTGTTAGACCATTCCAGTATTCCAGGTGATCAGGCACATTTCCTTCCATTGAAGAAAACTGGCTTGTGTGATTGACAATCCTCGTTTCTATGATGCTTATTCTAAGCTGTGCTTCCTACCTTATCTCCTCTCACTTTGTCTGGAAGAGCAACAACATAAAGGGATCAGAGGTGAAACTTGGATCCACCTGCATGGAGCCAGGCAAAAGGCAGGCCTCCCCTGGCCGGGGTGTGTGGACAGACTCGGCCCTCCATCTCCAGTTCTGCAGAGCCTCAGATACACTTGCTTTTTCCTCTCCCACGGTGCTGTCCTGGCCCCACAGCTGACTTCCAACTGGTCAACTGTGTCTGGAAGGCAGTCCCTCATTCTGGGTTTTGTGGCCTGCCCCCTCTGCCAGGTTGACTTCATTCAGGGATGTCAGTGTCCTTCTGGACCCCTGTTCAGCCTATCCTCAGGCACTCACATCACACAAAGTGATGTCAGCATCTTTCAGAGATAACTCAATTTTAGAATAAAAATCTGAACTTCAAAACACGGACCTTGATTTTGCTGTCTCAGCTCTTTCAGGGTCTCCGCATCGCTGTTAGTGCAGACATGGGAGGAAGAGGTCGTTGCTCACCCCCTTCCCTAGTGCAAGCTTAGGGCAGCCAGGCTTGTGGATGGGTGTGCACGGAGGGGTGGGAAAGGGTGAGCTGATGGGTTTCCCTGGTAGGATTCAGAATGCCTTTGGAGGAAAGAGCCAGGTTTGCCAGGGCTGCTGTGGCTGGTACCCCTGCAAGGCTGCTGAGGACATGAACAACTGAACATCAAAGGCAAGAGTTAATGCCATCCTTACCTGTCCCCCATGTATCCAGCTGTGCAGTAGCACTGTCCAGTCACATGGTCACACTGGCCTCCATGGTGGCAGGGACAATCCTGGCTACAGTTCTGGCCAAAGGTCCCTGCTGGGCAGGGCTCAGCACACACTGCTCCCTGAAATAGAATTGAGACAGGCTTGGTAGGGCTCCAAAGACAGCACGTTGAGGCTATATACTCCGAGGAATACTGGGGTCCCAGGACCACCCCAACTTTCTCAGGTCCACTCAGGCTAGTTCTTTCACTCACCTATTCAGCACAGAGTTAGCACCTGCTGTATGTCAGGCACTGGGATGGATGCGTGGGGAACAGAGCTGCTACCTATCCGCCCTGAGTCCTGGAAGATCACCAAGGAGGCAAAGTGGAGCTAAGTTCTTTCACAGGGATGTGGGAAAAAATAGCTGAGCAGATACAGAAGAGTGCCCCCCCATTAAACCTCCAGCTGTGGAGATACACTCATGTCTGTGCCTTTCCTAAACCCAGTTACTGTGAGAGAGAACCCAAAAGGAAGTAATGGTGGGAAGGAGGGGACCTAGGGGTATGAAGACGGAAAAAAGGGACAGAAGAGGGAGGAGGGGGAGAGAAGGACTGGAGGGGTAGAAATAAAATGGGGGACATATGACTCCCATCAGAGTAAAACATTATAGATTAAATTTTTTAAAATTTTATGTACATTAGTGTTCTACCTCCATATGTCTGTGTGGGATGTCAGATCCCTTGAAGCTGGAATTACAGACAGCTGTGAGCTGTCATGTGGGTGCTGGGAATCAAACCCTGGTCCTTTGGAAGAACAGCCAATGATCTTAGCTGCTGAGCCATCTCTCCAGCCCATATTATAGATTTTTATAAAATTAAATTTATTATTATTTTTTTTAGGCCAGGTGGTGGTGGCACACACATTTAATCCCAGCACTCAGGAGGCAGGAGAGGCTGATCTCTGTGAGCTCAAGGCCAGCCTGGTTTACAGAACGAGTTCCAGGACAGCTGGGTCTATACAGGGAAACCCTGTCTCGAAAAACCAAACCAAAAAAACAACAAAAAAACCCCACATTTTAATTTCTATATGTATGTGTATGTATGCCATGGGCATGTGCATGCCTGAGGAGGCCAAAAGAGGGCTTTGGATCCCCTAGAGCTGGAGTTACAAGTGGTTGTGAGCTCCCTGTCACAGATTCAAGGAGCTGAATTTGGTCCTCTGGAATAGCAGAAGTGCTCTTAACTACTGAGCTGTCACTCCAATCCCTGAAGTTTTATATTTCTAAAGGTAAACTTAATCAAAGTTTTTAGGAAGAAGAAAATAGTTATATACAAAAACCAGGAATCAAGTTGTTAGGCCTCTTAGTTAGAAATTAGATGACAGTGGGGCTATTCCTTAATATTTTGGAGAGAAAATAATTTTCAGTCTGGAACTGGCTGCCAAGAAGCACTAGGGATGTGGCTCAGAGGTAAAGCCTGGGTCTTTAGCACTTTAGAACAAACTAATTAGAACCAAACAAACTCCTTTGTCTAGAATTTCATAGTTGCCAAACCAAATACGTATTCAGGGAATGTGATCGTGACAATTTCAGGTTAGAACAGTCACAAACATTAACTTTCATGAATACTTTCCAGTAATTAGCTAGAAGATTCCCCCACCCCTCATCAAAAAGGAATGCCCAGGGCTGGTGACGCAGGCCAGTGCTTGCCTGGCATGCGGGAGGCCCTGTGTTCTGTCCTCAGCATCATACAGACTGGGTGTAGGGGCACACACCTGTAGGTGGAGGCAGGAGGATTACAAGTATTCAAGGTCATCCTTGAGTACATAACTAGTTTGGGAGTTAGAGTGGGGTATGATATCCAGTTAAACCAGAAAAGCAACCAAACAACAATACTTTGCTAAAGCAAACAAAACAAGAAAAATCCAAAGGGCTGGGTGTTGGTGGTGCCTGCCTTTAATTCTGGCACCTGGAAGGCAGAGGCAGGCATGTGTCTGTGAGTTCAAGGCCATCCTGGTCTACAGAGAAACCCTGTCTTAAAAACCCAGGAAGGAAGGAAGGAAGGAAGGAAGGAAGGAAGGAAGGAAGGAAGGAAGGAAGGAAGGAAAGAAGATAATTACTCAAGAAAAAGAAAAACATGGTTTCTAAGAACTAGGGACCCATCAAAGGAGAAACAAAAGGAATTTCAGGACAGGAAAGAACAGTTGTGAGTAAGCCAAGCAAAGAGCTCACACACAACAGAAGCATCAAGTGTTCCGTGTGAAGCATGAAGTGTGCCTCAAAACACAAAGAAAAAATGAGTGAGTGAATGAGGGAGGGAGGGAGATAGAGGGGAAGAGAGGCAGGGACTGATGTGTTTAACCTTACTGAGAGAAATTTCAGACTTAGATTGAGCTGTCAGATACATTAGCAGTGGCACACACAGGCATGCTGACGTAAGCATTGGGAACCAACTTCTGTCTTCTCTTCTGTCTTCCTTTTGAAATGGGGCCTGTACCCTGGGCATATTGTCCCCTTTTCACCGAAGTCCTCCTCCTCTGCTACGTGACTGCCTGTGTCTGGCCTCTGTGCCAGTTCAATTCAACTGGCATGCCTCTCCCTCTTCCTCTTTTCCATCTTCTTCCAGGTAGCTGCCAAGATTTATACCCTGTAGTTCTTTTAAACATGAGTAAAGTTGCTCTTAAGCTTAAAAAAAGATGATTCAACACCAAGTTATAATATAAGGCCCTGTGTGTGTATAGAGCGGTGTGTGTGTGTGTGGGTGTGTGTGGGTGTGGCTAAAGCTAAATGAATAAATTAAAATTTAAGTTTATTTATTTATTTGTTTGTGTGTGCGTGTGTGCATGAGCACACTATGGCATGTGTATGGAAACTGTATGACAACTTGTTGAGTCAGTTTCTCTTTCTACCCTGTGGGGCCCAGGGATTGAACTCCGGCTGTCAGGCTTGAGGGCAATAGCCTAACTTACTGAGCCATCTCACTCCTCTGACTCTTCTGTGGGCTGTAGTCAATAGTTAAGAAGCAGGAGTAAAGCATGTAGGGTAGGAACAAAAGGGAGATGCCAAAGGGACATGGACCAGGGTTTTGAGCACTGACACCGAGGGCCGTTTCCTCTGGCCCACCCTCCAGTCTTCGCTTTGTGGTATATACCATAAAAGCAGTTCATATAAATCTCCAGTCTTCATCAGGCTTCTGAGCCTCATCTAGTCTCTTGCCACCCTTTCAGCCTCGTGCCAGAGATAATCATTTCTCTTATGGAGAATGAAGATGATCCCCCAATTAATTAATCAATTTGTTCAACACACAGTTATTAAGCACCAATGATCACTGGCCCGGGAGAAGCCAGTTCAGTCAGGAAAAGCCTGCTAGGCCAGAGCCATCTTTGCACATCATGTTATTGAGTTGTGATGAATTAAGTGTGAGGCTTTCGGCTCAGATCTCCTTCTGTAGGCACAGAGGAGTGCCGAGGAGGGGGGCTGGGGAGCAGAGAAGGAGCACTGTGAGGGAAGTGTGCAGGAGTTGGGGAGAGAAGCCAGGGGATGGCAGGGGCCTTCTCACCAAACCCATGAACTTAAAGATTCATGGGTGAAAGAGGACTTTCTGACTTCTGTGCAATTCTGTTCTTACTGTCTGGGGATGTCTGAGGGTACTCCAACCTGAAAACCATTCAAAGACAACTTGGACTCAAGATTATGCTTATGCCAACCAGTATCCTCATCCTTGAACAGGTAGAGCCCTCATGCGTGCACACACACACACACACACACACAGAGGAAAGGAGGGGGAGGGGGAATGACCCCTGGTCTCTAGGAAGCTGTGAAGATAAGTGAGATTAGAGATACAAAGGAAGCCAGAATAGCATCTTAATGAGTATTGCTTAATGAATGTCAACTGAACAAAGTTGACATTGATGACACAGTCCAGGACCACATAAATGATAACTACTTCTGGCTGGAAGAATGACCTTTGGAGGAAGCGAGCAAGCACCAGGGTTCCTTTGCTGCTATGATTTTTATCTCCCCGAGACTCACGGGCTGCAGTCTAACTCCCACCGTGTAGATACGGTTGTATGTAGACGTGGGGCCTTTGCAGAGGTGAAGCTTAAACCTTGTGTTTAAACCTCATCCACCATAACTTATGTCCTCACAAAGAGATTAAGGCAGATACGTGGGGGGTTGGTGGGTTACCTCAGTCAGCAATGTGCTTGCTATACAAACATGAGGATTTAACTTTGATCTCAGAAGCCGTGTAGAAAGATGGACATGATGAGCTGTGCTGGCTAGTTTTATGTCCACTTGACACAAGCTGGAGTCGTTTGGGAAAGGGGCTTGTTGGGGGTTGTTCTGATGCTAGACCTCAAGCTCTGGTTAAGCCTCTCCTTGTTGTGTAAACCTGCCTAAGTCATTACAGCTGATGTTGATTAAACAGCCTACACAGCCTGGGCAGGGCAGAGTGGGGTAGGCATGGCTAAGGTTCCTGGGCTTCGGGTTCAGAAGAATCATGGCAGACAGACAGAAGGATGCCACGATGGGTTAGCATGGAGAAGAAACCACATGAGCTGGGAGGAAGAACTTCAATATTGGCTTGAAAAGGCCCAGATGAAAAATACAAGCAAGTACCATGGGATTATGGATGGAAGGTAGATCAGATGAGGATTAAGGTGGATGGCATTGGATGGGGGCTGGGAGATGGATGGTGGGGATATTGAGCCAGCGTAGGTGAAATATCTGCCATGTCAAGGTAAAAAGGGCAATTATAAAATCTAACAGGTGTCTGTGTCTTATTATTTGTGATATCGAGTTAAATAACACTGCAGTGATAATCAGGGCTAATAATAAACATTATATAGCCCAACACACTTTTTTTTTTTTTAATTTACAACAACAGGGATTCTTCAATTAAAGAAGGAGGGGGCTAGGATCAGGATATAAAATGAATAAATAATTTTAAAATTAATTTATAGGCTTTCATAAAGTTGGCCAATAGGCTGGCCTGTAGTACATTTTCTTTTTCAAAAAGGATTTATTTATTTATGTATATGGATGTTTTGTTGGCATATATGTTTGCACAGCAGAAGAGGACATCAGATCCCATTATAGATGGTTGTGAGCCACCATGTGGGTGCTGGGAATTGAACTCAGAATCTCTGGAAGAGCAGTTAGTGCTCTTCCCTGCCGAGCCATCTCTATAGGCCCTGTAGTTCATTTTCTTAATCAATACTTGACACGGGAGGGCTCAGCCCATCATGGTGGTACCACCTTTGTTCTGATGATCCTGGGTTCTGTAAGAAGGCCAGAGGGATGGCCATGCAAAGACACAGGAAGAAGATGGCTGTCTCCAGGCTGTGGAGAGGCTCAGAAGTCATCAGCCTTTCCTGATGAAGACACCTGGATCTCAGAGACCCTGCCTCCCAGCCAATGAGAAGATAAATCCCCACTGCCTGAGCCATGTGGTCTGAGGTGCTTTGTCTGGAAACCGGAAAAGGTCAGGTGTGTCTCTACTGTAGTGAGCTCCCCGGCTACATAGCATTTAGAAGGTTGGCATTAAATGGGACAGGTCCTGGTCCTCCAACTGGTCAGACCTAATGCTCCTGTGGGGCTCTGGGGAACAGCTACACTGTAAGAGGTGTCTTCTCAACAGAAGATCAAAAGGAAGGGACCAAGATGGGGGCTCAGTCTTGCCAGCATTTGGGTATTCACATTAATGGCCGTTGTCCCACAGTGGCACCAGCTCACTGAGACACTGAGCAGGGGCTGGTGAAGGTGCTGTGGAGGTGATCCCAAACTTAGGACTAGCCACAGGCCTCTGTGGTCACCCTTCCGACACTAGTGTCCGAGACTCCGGAGCCTAAGCTTCAGAAGCCCTCTCTGGCCCATCACTGACCCTTCCCCTCCTGGTTCCATTCTTCCTCCTGCCCATCATTTCCTTTGCATGGACGGCCTTGAGTGTCTTGTGAGCGTAGGTGAATGTACCCACTCCATCCAGCCTGTACTGTCAGCCTGGGAACTCCTGAGGGGTTGCCATCCCTGCTTTCTGCCTGTCCCCAGTGTTCACTGTCATCTAGCTACCTGTTACCCTCTTTGCAAGGTCTCAGGGCCCAGCAAAAGCAGGAAAATAGCTCCCAGGCTCTCTGCAGGGGCCTATCCACACTGGGCTCCTTATAGTCATGCAAGCGGAGGGGCCTGGGGCATTCTTGGAGGTGGGGGCCTGGAAAGCTAGAGGGGCCACAAAAGCTCCTCTGGACCCAGTGTCCCAGCAGAGCGGTGGTAGTGAGTACCATTCCTTTGGCCTTGGAGTGGGAAAATGTGTGGCTGAAGGTCCATGGGGGCAAACGACAAGTCAGGGAATGGAAGAATATGGACAAGTGGCCGTGCCCCCCAGCAGGCTTTCCTTGGCCCCAGCTCTCCCTAGGAGGAGCCTCAGGCCCGAGCTGAAGCTTCATTGCATTGTGACTCGGCATGCACCAGGGTATTAATAATTCATGCAAATATGCAAGTTCAATGCTATGTCAAAAATAGAAATGTGATTGTCTATCATAAAATTTAAAACAAAGTCCTCAGCACCAAAGCTTTCTACAGACAGGGTTTCTCATCACCTGGAAAAACATGTTAGGAAAAGAGCCACCACCACCGCAGCGCGGCAGCTTTCTCCTTCTCCCATCCCTGAAGTTCAGCTTCCCACAGCAGCGACTCGGAAGAGGCCTCTCCAGGCTCAGGGCTCCCTCCCTGGTTGATGGGTTTCCTTGAGCCCTGCCTGTGGGCATTGCATAACCTGGAACCTGGTGATAGAGACCTTCCCGAAAAGTCAGAGAAGTGGGCAGGTGAGAGAGGAGATCTCATCCCCTTTGTCCTTCCAGAAGAGTGGGGAGAGGGTGGAGAGAAGAGGGACAGAGGGAGAGAAAGAGAGAAAAGTTAAGAAAATAGTAAAGAGGAAGAGAAAGAAACCCTGAAAGACAAAGGGAGAGGAAGGAGAGAGGGAGAAAGGAGAAAAGGAGAGAGAGAGGCAGAAGGAGGGGGGAGAGGAAGGAGAGAGGGAGGAAGGGAGAAGGAGGAGAGGGGAAGGAGGGAGGGAGACAGGTAAAGAAGGAGAGGGAGGCAGAAAGAGAGAGAGTGAGCGAGCAGGTGTGGGGTGGTTCTGGAGTTAAGAGACGCAGGTTCTAGCTGCACTTCACTCCTAACCAACCAACCTTGTGGCCTAAGGCAGGTCATTACCCTCCCCTGCTTATAACTCCTTTACCAAAGAACGACAACGGTGTTCAAGACTCTTCAAGCTGGGACTGGTGTTGTGTCTGTGATCTGTGACCTAGAACATCAACACTGAGAGTTGACTCAGATGTGGGGATGGTGGGAGCCGGAGTCCCAGTGTTGAGTCTTCCTCCCTCACCCACCCCAAGGAGCTAAAGGCAGCTCTTTGCTCTTGATCAGTGACATCCAAGTGTAGCTGTGTCTGCACACTGCCTTCCTCAGAGTCACCTGGGGAGCTTATTAAAGATGGCATTCCAGAGGCTCAAGTGTGACCCCGGCCCCTCATTGACTCCAGTGTGTAGCCATATTTGCTCATGCTGGATCCTCAGGCCCCTTTCCATCTGGGAGAACCTGTGGGATTGCAGGTGTCCTTCCTGACTGCCCTTGGGAGCCTGGTGTCGAAAGCCTTGAAATATCTTGCTCTGCTCAGTAGCCCTGTCTTCAGGCCCTGGGGAGCAACTGGCTGAGCCTCTCCTGAAGTGAGGCATGGTACAGGGGCTACATTGTGGAGGGGCAGCCTCTGGGGCTGACAGCCTTTCAAGGACTAGGTCTGTAGGGAGGTGCTGACGGGGGAGCTTGGCAGTTGAGAGGAGGCTGTGGTTAGTCTGTGACATCCAGGGTATAAATCAACAGGTAGAAAGGCTTTGCTGTTTGCCAAGCATCTTGGATCTGCAGTTTCACCTGAGGATTTGGCCTATCGAGACAGCCAACCCAAGCAAAGCTCACTGAAGGTAAGTCCTCTTTTGTAATGGGAAAGCTGAGACCAGAGTCACGGAGGTTTTTCAGGGGGCAGCATCGTCCGAAGCCTCTGTGGATGAGGCTGTATCTCTACCTGTTTTCCCATAGTGGGGGTTCCCACCCTGGAGAACTGTGATGGAGAGGCTGCAGCAGGAGGACCCGAAACACCTGGGAATAGAACAGATGCTGAGAGCCACAGAGTCAGCGTGGACACGTGAGGTCTGGTAACATCTCAAGACCCAGATGAACCATATCCTGCTGTGGTTCTTGGCCAATTCCTTCTGCCACACCTGGAGCACCTTTGGGTACCCAGACCCAAATACAAAGCCAAACTTTAAAAAAGATAGCTTATGTATTTTTATCTTACGTGAATTGGAGTTTTGCCTGTATGTGTGTCTGTGTGAGGGTGTTAGATCTAGGAGTTACAGACAGTTGTGAGTGGCCATGTGGGTGTCTGGAATTGACCCAGGTCCTTTAGGAAGAACAGTCAGTGCTCTTAACCACTGAGCATCTCTCCATCATGCTGCCCTTCCCCTTTTAATTAAAAACCTTCTTTTTCAGACAGGGTCTCATGTAGCCCAGGCTGGCTTTGAACTTGTTATATAGTTGAGGAGGACCTTAAGCTTCTGATCCTCCTGCCCCTACCTCCCAAATGCTGGAATTATAGCCTTGTGCCATACTTGGCTTTACGTGGGGTTAGGGATTGAACCCAGGGCTTCATGACTCTTAGGCACGCGTTCTACCAACTGAGCTTCATGGACAGAGCCATGAAGGAAAATACAACTCCTTTGCTGTGAGAGACACTAACTCAGAGAGGCTAAAAAACTTGCCTTAGGTCACACAAACCCGAGACCTGGGTCTCACCACTGCTAGTGAGTGTCTCATGATGGCTTAAGACTGTAAGCAGGGGCAAAGAGGGGAATTAAGCCATTCATGGTCTTGTGATGGATGCCAAGACTCTTAGACCTTGAGGCCCACCTACCGTCCAGCCCGGAGGGCAAGCACACTCCCCAGTGATGTGGTGGCAGGTGCCCCCATTTTGGCAGGGGCAGCGCAGCTCACAGTGAGCCCCATGGCTCCCAGGGGGGCACAGCTCCTCGCAGCTGCATCAGGAGGGAGAGCATCAGTCAGCAGCCTTCCCAAAGCCTCCTAGTGCTCAGACCCAACACCCCACGCCTTCCTAGTGAGCCCAGTCTAACCCCAGCCCCACCTGGCACCCGACTCTTCCCCCACCACAGGTGTGGTCGATGACGTCAGCAATCAGCTACACCTACCAACTTGAGGGCCTGACGCACACACCCCTGCCACCGCCCCGCTCCACCTGTAAGCATGGAAGTTCTGATCACCGCCAGCAGGGGGAGACAGGTCTCAGATAGAACATTGAACTGTAGGGTTCCCGGACCAGCACTTGAAAGTTCTGGGGAGGAGACCTTCCCCAAGAGGAAAGCCATTTCCTTTGGCCTTGAAGGTGAGGCTGATTGCACTGAGAGAGTGAAAGGGCAGCCAGATGGATGAAACAGCATGAGCAGTGGGGCTAAGAATCGGCCATGAATTTTGCCTTCAAAAACCTGTCTATTTCCTTCTTCAACTTCTCCTCCTCTCTTTAAAGATTTATTTACGTATTTTCTGTGTATGAGTGCTCTTTCTGCATGTATGCCTGCACGCCAGAAGTGGGCATCGGCTTCCATTATAGATGGTTGTGAACTGCCATGTGGTTGCTGGGAATTGAACTCAGAGCCCTGGAGGAGCAGCCAGTGCTCTTAAACGCTGAGCCAGCTCTCAAGCCCCTGAAAAACGCTGCCTACTTTGTTAGGGGGGGTGACAGCAACCCCAAGGCATATCCTTCCCAGGCTCTGAAAGGGTCTCAGCTGCCACGTGTGGGGGTCCAGCCACTTCGGGAGTATGGGGAAGGTTTGCATCATTGCCTCTGGTCTCATTCTAATGGCCATAGCTTCACTCCGCGGTCCTGGAAACTGAGCAGACCCTGGCGCAGAAGAGGCTGTCAGCCCAGGATGTCCTGTGGCCTGCACCCTTGGCTGATGCATAAGGATCTAGGAGGACTCTATAGGCCTTCCGAAGGTCTGGAAGGACGACAGCAGGGATCCCCAGTCAGTGTGGCTTCCCCAGGACACAGAAGTGAGGGGCCAGCATCAGCCAGCTGCGCTCTTGCCAGCTGTGCCCCAGATGTATCTGTTAGGATGGGGCAAACAGACCCTACTGCGAAGGTCAAAAGAGGACAAGCTCACTTCTGTGTCCCCTAACCAGGAAGGACCCTCTGGCCATGTGGCTGTCTCCAGTAGGACCAGGCTTGAGTTAGTAAGGCCTGGATACTTAAACACTGCTGCACTTGGGGTCAGAGGGCAGATGTCACAACCAGGACTTTCAGTTCTTGTCTTCATGTCCACTACGGTGCTAAGAAGTTGCCAAAGAGCCTTGAAAGCCCTGCTGAGGGCCTCTAGGCTCCAGCACTGTCCTGCTCCAAGCCATTCGTTACCCTGGCCACGCCTTTCACGCCCCTCAGGGCCTCATCTCCCCTGGCTCCGCCCATCCCTTCTTTCCTTACCCTAGCAGCAGTCCTTACCACCACCACCCCCGCCCACGCCTTCTCTACTCACTAAACACCGGTGTAGCCGGGTGCGCAAAGGCACTCGCCCGTGCGTGGGTCGCAGCTAGCGCCATGGTGGCACTGACACGGCAGCTGGCAGCCTTTGCCGTGGGTACCGGGAGCACAGAGTTCCTCACAGCGCCAGCCTCGGAAGCCTGGGGCGCACACGCAGGCGCCGGTGATAGGGTTGCACAGGGCGCCGTTCTGACACTGACACCGGTTGCTGCAGTGGGGACCCCAGTGTTCGCTGTCACAGCCTGCAAGAGAGGACACACGGGGTGAGGGCTCTCCTTAGAACGAGGGTCCACATGGCTTTACAATCTCTACCGTCCCTGGAAAGGGGCTGTAGATGAAATCCTTGGCCAGGTTCCACTAAGCCACCACGTGTTCACAGGAGCTGAAGGTGGTACATCCTCAAAGGCCGCCCCAGGCTCACTTTCAGTGGAGGCCAGGGGTCCCAGCCCAATGCAAACCTAGCCACCGCCTTCTGCCTCCCTCTGTTCCTGGGAAGCCCTCCCTGGTTGGTCTGTCTCCAGTCCTCTCAGCTGAACCTTTTCTAGGTGCTCCCTCCGGCCACCTCCCTTCTCTGTGACCCTGCTCCTCTCGGTACCAGCTGGGTCCAGCCTCGAGTCAGTCTGTGCAGCCCTCTTTTCTCTTTCCCCACTCACAGTCTACCGTCTCGCTTACTCATTTACCCCGGGATGTTTCTTCTGATTCACTGTGCCTACTCCTAGCTCCGCCTCTCTGCTCTTCTTTCCCTCTTCCTCCCTTCCAGGAACACCTCCAGGCCCCTAGCTGTTTCTTCAGTTCAATTTCCTCACTGCCTAAGCTCCTTCAGAAAGAGCAGGAGAAAAGAAATGTATCCCTGGGAGGTGAAAGACAGCCTTGGAGATCTTTCCCTGTAATTAAATGTTTTCAAAGACGGATGGCTTTCTGGAAACCTGCATTCTAAGCCATGGAAAAGGATAGAGTGGCCCAGAACCCCAGGAAGGTTACCCAGCTTGCTGTCACCTTCCACTTTGACCTCTCTCTTGGGGCATTCTGGAAAATAAGATGTTCCCCACACACTGAGGTTTTTCTTAGTGGGAGTGGAGTTTAGGTTACTGACGGGCACAAACACTGTTCTAGAATTTGGAAGGCAAGAAAGATTGTTTCCAGTTAAGGCAGTCAGGTGAGGGTTCCTCATTGCAAGTGGGCAGTGAAAGATGGCTCACTTGTCTGCCTGCCAGAGGACCATCTGTCTTGCTCTCAGCACCGAAAGTCCTCTGTTTCAAAAAGCACTCCAGCTCTGGGCAAGCTGGAGCGGAGGTGACCCTGCCGCCCGTGGGCACAGATGGCCGGCTGATCTTTGCACCCCAGCTTTCTAGGATTTTGATGCTCAGAGGGAAGGGCAAGTCAGTGGCACAGGAAAGGTGTCCCTGGGGCAGAGCAGGAACAGGAAGGCAGAGACTGAAGTGGCCTGTGAGACTGCGGGGCTCCGCCGGCCATCCAGTGCCAGGCAGGACCGCTGAGTCTCCGGTCCTCACCGCCTCATCTTGGCTTACTCATCTGTGCCCTGAGTACTGATACATACAGACTGGCCAAGCTACAAGCGGGCGTCAGCTTTAGTTTCCCAGCCCACTCAGAGCGACAGCCTCTGCTCACACTGACAGAGGCTCACAGGACAGAAGCTCAATGGCTGTGCAGCACCCTGTCCCCTCCCAGCCCACGCTTTCTAGAACCCTGGCCAGGGGGTGCAAAGACTGACAAAATTACCCTTGGTGTGTGCACGCACCCTTTCTCTCCTTCCCAGTTTTGAATGTAAGTGTGTATACATGCATGTTTGTGTGATTGTGTGCATACAGTGCGTGTGTATGTACCGTGCTCAAAGGGGCCCAAGGTTATGTCAGGAATCTTCCGCAATCACTCTCTCCCCCTTACTCAATGAGTCGTCAGGTGTGGCTGTCCTTACCACAGCTTGCTCTGGGATGCCCCGTCTCCACCTTCTGAAGCTGGAGGTACAGGAGCCTCCACGCCCACAGGCATTTACTTGAGTTCCGGGGACCTCATCAAGTGCGCTAACCAGTGAGCCGTTCCTCGCTTCCCTTTCTCTCTCTTTATCGCCAAACACACATAGTTAGCATTCAATGTGTATGTGCTCTGATCCCATTACAGTAATGACAGTCATATTTAAATCTCCCCATGTGTCAGGCCCCATCCTGGAAGTCTTAACCACATGAATGGTGTTTAATGCTCACAGGTTTCACCTTCTTCCCTACTTGACAGACGGCAAGATAGAGGGTCACAGACGTTCCATGATTGTTCAGGTCCTAGCAGGATGGGAAGCCTGGAGGTGGCACTGAGAACAGAGCAGTGGCTGAAAAGCAGAAGTCAGCGACAGCACAGAGACTGGCTACCATCTCAGGCCCCAGACAAGAGATTCTACACCTCTGGGGCCCACAGCTGCTCCACAGAAAAGTGTGCCAGTCCGAAGCCAGCAGAATCCCTCAGGGTCCCACGAGCATCTAGTGACACTTTGCTGTTCGGGTGCTTATCAATACCTCCACAATTTTTTTTTCTTTTCAGTTTGGAGAGAGGATTCCACTATGCAGCTCAGGTTGGCCTCCAGAGTGCCAGGATTGTGGGTGTGAGCTGCCATGTCTGGCAGTGACCTCCAGCAGCCCTAACCCAACAGGTGACAAAACTGTGCCCTGGATAAGGAGATGGCAGAATGCTGTCACAGGGTCTTGTAGCAGCACGGAGCCGCTTTCTTCCCTCACTCGTCCACTTGGTATCTCCCAAGTACCTAGGAGCGACGTGTTGTGGAGCGCTGTCTTTCAAGAGTAACAGACATGACCACAGCCATCTTCATCAAGAAGCTGTGACCACTTGCAAGGGACCATCAAGATCAGGCCTGTCGATATTTCCCCCCAGATGAGAAGGTGGCTTCCGGTTCTCCTTCCTGCTTCTTTCTCCCAGCTGTATGGACTTCTGCCAGCTGCTTGGGGTCTGGAGGGGTGCTGGCGGGGGTGAGGAAGTGGTCGTCTATTCAAGCTGGAGTGAGACTTTTCAGTGACGTGGCTGTTTTGGCCCTCTCACTCCTGTCAGTGACCTCTCATCCATGTTCCGGAAGTAAGCCCATTAAACTCAGTTTTGTCAAGTTGGACTTTGCTGAAATTGTTACTTTAGTCCACTTCTGGAATCTGTCACTGATGTCCTATCTCAGGTAAGTAGACATTCATTCATGTCTTGCCAGGAAAGTTCATACAACATGCAAGGAGGTGACCTTCCCTCTCTGGAGAGAAATGGTTTATCATGGAATGGGGCTGAGGCAGTCACCGAATTCAGCACTCGGTGATGGTGCTAGAATAAAGGAGGCTTAGGACATTGTAGAAGTCATGGGAACACAGCTCTGGTTCCTCACACCTCAGGTGTGCGTATGAACATGCCTGTGTTTGTGTCTCGGTGTTTATGAAGCCCCTAAAACCAGAAGGCAGGGCTAGGGAGATAGTTCAGTGGCCTAGAGCACCTGCTGTGAAGGCAAGAGGACCTGGGTTCAAATCCTACATAATAGCCAACCACGTAACCCCAGTTGTGTGGGATGGGGACAGACAGATTTCAAGAGCTCACTGGCCAGCCAACCTAGCTTCAAATTCAGCAAGAGACTGTCTCACAAATAAGGTGGCGGGCTAGTGAGATGGTGTGTCAGATAAAAGGCGCTTGCCACCGAGACTGAAGACCTCAGTTCAGTCCTCAGGGCCCAGATGGCAGAAGGAGAAAAGAGATTCTGCTAGGTTGTCCTCTGACTTTCGCACGAACTGTGGCATTTACACACACACACACTTAAACACATGCGCACACACAGGAAGATGAAAAAGTGGCAGAAGATGCACAATGCCCTCTTCTAGCCTCTGCATATGTGTGCATAACACAGGGGCACAGACATGTGTGCATGCACATGTACACACACCCACACCCCAGCAGGGATGCAGGGAGCTAGGCAGAAAACACAGACGAAGACAGCGCGGCTACCTGCGACCATCAGAGGACACATGATTCCCGGCACCGGACCTGGCAAGGAAAAGCTGAGCTAGCTCAAACAGTTCTGACCAGAGAAGCGAGGAAGTATGTCATCTAGGGCAGAGAAATTTCTCCCCAGACCGACCCAATGGAAATAAAAATATTAGGGACCACAGCGATTGACTTTAGTTGTCTGAAAAATTCACTTAAAAACTCCCCATCCCCCAGTGATAACGGAAATGAGGCGGAGCTGGGAGAGTCAATTATCCACTCTGTTGAAGGCAAGCAGAGCGCTCACGGCACAATTACAGCGGGGCCTGCACTCCTGAGCCACACACTGTCCAATTTGGCCAGGCTTTGTCAAACCCTCACATAGGTGGGTTTATTCTTTTCCCTTCACTCTGTCGCAGACTCTGCTCTCCAATTATATTTGGATCCTGCTGATTTTTCAGCTTCGTTTGGCAGCTACCTAGGGCTTAAGGGGCACCCAGAGGTACATGGCTGGCGGCTCAGCCCCCTCCCAGTTGGCCCTTCAGACTCCTGGATCCAGCCTTACGGGCTCCAGGTCCTCACAACAGGCCATGGTTTGCCCATTCTCTCCCACAGTAACTTCACTATGGACAGGCTTCTCGGTTTGTAGCCATAGTTGAGGAAGCAGTTACTATAAAACCAGGCCGGGTACCACAGGTGCCAATTGGGGTCAGGGAGACTGTTATTATCCCCATTTTTCAGACAAGGAAGAGAGGCTCAGAGATGCTAAATAACTTATTCCAGGTTATATAGCTAGGGAGTGGCTGGGAGTCTAGGCTGCTGATACCTTCTGGGTAAGGGCTGGTGTCAGTCAGGGGATGCAGAATGCTGGCAGCTGGCCTGGGCGTGGCCAGTAATGTTAAAACTCCACAGAGGTAACAGCTAAGGTCACGGCTCAACTGGTAGAGTGCCTAACTGATCTGTGTGAGGGGACTAGTAAACAGGGGTGACGGCACACACCTGTAATCCTAGCACCCGGGAGGTAGAAGCAGGAGGATCAGAAGTTCCAGGTCATCCTCAGCTACTCAGTAAGTTTGAAGTCAGCGGGGGCCACGTGAGACATCGTCTCGAAAAAGAAAAACTCCACATGGACGAAGGGAGAGGACCTGCCACCAGTGCCTTGCTTCAACGCTGGTTTAAGCATAATTAGCGGCCCCAGGTTTTCCTCAGCAGACACTTATGTTTTCTTCTGTTGGTGCCGTGCCTTATTACTATTTTCCTACTGTAT